GGTCACACACCTCGGTGCTGGAGAAACCTACAGAAGACTGATGACTTGAGAGATTGGCCGCTGGTCATTTGACATGACGAGTGACAAATGATTACTTCCCCTGTGCCTCACTCCAGGTACAGATGCTACAGGTTCGCTGAATATAATGTAGTTCTGTCAATCTGCGTTTAATTACTCTGTGGCTTTCTCAAGGATGTCTGACACAAAACATTTAATTTCAGAACTGCAATTGAACCGCTATACCATTAGCCGCAATGCACTGAAGAAACTAACTTTAATAAATTTAAATCATTTATTATAATATATGTCATAAAATCATTTTGTATTTCATTATGTTGTCTTTGACATAAATATTGTTTTTTTTTGCTAGTAAACACTGATTGCATACCGTAGGACCTTCAGCGTAGGTAGTCAAGTAAATACATCACTCTAAAAGTTTAAAATCAAAGATTTAAATAAACATAAACCCTGCTCTGAGCTTTAGTTAGACCACCAAAGCAGATGGAGTAGGAAGAACAAGCAATAAAAATGGATGTTTAGATTACAAGAGGAAGCAGACAAAGATAGACCAAAGGAGGAGGGGCCTTATAATAAATACAGATGCTAGTTTTACCTTTTGAAAAAAGAAAAAAAAAAGAAAAGAAAAAGTATTTTAAGTTCTTTTGTGTCTGTGTTCCCTGGGTCTCATCCGGTGATCACACAGTGAGGAACGAAAGGTGAACGATAACCCTTTGACCCGACCTGTGCGTGTTTGTGGTTTATTTTAGAAATCCAGGAAGAGGATGTGTGACTGTGCCACTGACTCATTCAGCAAACTGCAGCTGGAGATAGTCGTTCTAATGGCCCATTACTAAAGGACAGGAAGAGCGGATACCTATTTACCGCCACGTTTCCAACCAAAAGTATATATGTGCTTTTAACGCTTTGCCATTTTGGTAGCTCAATAAAAAGCACTGCTTAAAAGTAGTAGCAACATTTCCAATACTTAGAATTTCAGTGTAACCAAAATATTGTCCTCAATTATTATTTTATGTTCACTCTCACAGTCATTTTCACAATATTAAAACATAAGAATAAAGAATATACTTCATCATCATATTCAATCTTTCAATCAAAAATAGCAAAGTTTTATTATTGGAAAAGCGCTAAGTATATCTGTGGTCTTGTAACTTTGACAATGTTTTTGATAGTGTAATTTCTGAAGCTTTGACTTTGGGAATGAGTTTTTATTGTGTTTGTGTTACGTTGCTCTTCTGATTAGCAATGTAACACATTCCTCTAAACAGTAATCATCACAATAAGCATCAAGAACACTTATGATGATGATTTCTTTAGATTTTATTTGTATTAGTATTTAAGTCAAGTCAGTAGTGGAAAAAGGAAGCAGAAAGGATTAAATCAGCAGTAAGTTAAATATGTTGGATATGAACTACAATAAAACAACAATATCTAACCAGGATCATGGTTAAGACTAATGAAAAAATAATAAGGTTAAATCTGATCAATAGCAGTGAGGTTTTATAAGAGCAATAACTGCTGCACATAAACCTACAGTCCTTTGAAAAGAAATTTCGTAAAAGAACAGAATTTTATTCGATGTGCCTGCCCTGTGAAGTCAGAAATCTTCCGATGCTCATCTGGTCAGTGTTTGTCACTGGATATCCCATCTTTCCACTGAACCCTCTACTATGTTTGCCGTGGTGGGAGAGCAGCCAGAGTTATGACTGTGGTCCTATTACAAAACACACACTACAGCTGAGCAACCTTGCTGATTCGAAATGTCATGCCACCTGCAGGAGACGCTGACTTTCTTGGATACAGTACATGCAGGACGTCTAACTTTCAGCGGCAGCAGCAGGTTTCCAAACAAAGTTGAACCGTGGTTGGTGTGTAACTCCAGCAGCAAGGGCTGACTTGGAGTGGAAGGAATGTTGACCTCTTTGAGCCTGTGAGCCTGTGAACGTTAAGCAGTGTAGTTAAAGGGGAAAAGGCCAATGACATGTTCATGAATTAACAGGGAACAGGGATAATACAGTAAAAGATTAGGGGATAATATCCACAAATCAGTAAGTCAAGCAGCTGATAACAGTTCAGCTGACTTAAAAACACCAAGCTGTTATCCTTGGATTTACAGCATTTGACAAAGATCTAATCAGTTCCATTACGATATCTGAAAATATACAGCTACATATAAAGGTGCTTTCTTAGACTGTGACATCCTTCATGTTTTCTGTTGTGAAGAGTAAAGCCGGCACGCACTGTACTGTCAAAGTTCTACTAGAGTGCTCGATTTTTCACGGTGTTGAAATGCTGCCCTCTTGTGGTTTTAATTCTACATCACATGTAATTCAAAACTATCACCACTGGAGGGAAGCAAATCCACATATTTGAAAAGTCTGACGGGACCATTTGGAGTCTCGCAATTAAAATATAGCATTTTAACTCACCTGGAGCAGCTACCGCATGACATGAATTTATGAGTCTGGGTATGCAACACTGTTCGCAGAACAAACACAAAACATATATATGTCAGTTCCATGTCAATTTGAATGTACATTCAAACTGACAATAAACCAAAAAAAAAAAAAAAAAAAGTCCTGTTGCCAAGAGATTTGAAGCAACTGACAAAGAAAATACTCACTTTTCTGCTTGTCATTTGTGTGTTTTACTCAAAACGTGTAAATTGTTTGAATTATTTTTGAGTGCCTTACCATTCGTGCCCCTCTAACATTTTACATGTAGTAACTTTTACAATAGAACAATAAAAAAAAACATTACTGTAGTGGAAAAAGATGACAAGTGATTTTCATTATTTTAAATACAAAGTTTTAAGTGACATTTGCATTTGTATTCAGTCATCTTTACTGTACATCTATGAAATAAAACCAAATGCAATCAAGTGGTTTATTGGGTTGCATTACATCTGAGTGTTCTGGCATATTAAATCTGTCACTTTATCCTGAACTAAACTACCCCTGTACAATCAGTAAGTTGGAAATGTAATCTTGCAGATGGAGAATAGTAATACTCTTTCAACTAAAATATATGTATTGCTGTAAAAATTCTGTTCTGCACAATAGATGTGGTTGTTATTTATATAATTTTTCATCAGTGAATATCATTAACATTTTCTCACAGACCTAAAGATGGTTGGTGGCGTACACCTATAACAAAACGCTGCAACTTCCTCCCTATAAATATGAAGCCTGCATCCAGGAAGCCACACTTTGGCCACCCAGCCCGGTTCTTCATTTCCTTTTAAAGCAGTGGAAGAGCCCCACCATCCCCTGATGCACATCACTATAAGTGCATGTCAATGAGGTGCAGATGACAGGAGTGCATTGTGAGATGGCTGCTGAGTGGGAAGCGCCATGTGACACTCCTGAATGGGCTGCCGGGGGTTGGCAGGAGGGAGAGGATGGTGACATCCACAAAGGCGCATTCAGGAACCGCAGACGACTAGGTACAAGACTGGCACTGGTCCTCCTTTCCTTCCCTGAGACAGCAGGAGGAGGCTGTTTCTTGGTACGGACTGAATGGAGGAATTATTGTTGAAATAATAGGAGAGAGAAGGTTTATTATCCTGATATAGCACTTCCTCGGGTCTCTTCGTGGACATTGTGTTGCTACTTCGTTGTGTGACTTACAACCTTGTCTTGTTCATGTGGCCTCAGAGACCTAACGGTGTTTAGAGCAAGATAAACTTTTTATGGACACATGCACAGTCCTAGAAGTGTTACTAACCTTCACTTTTTGTAGCGTAACGACCACAAACTTTGGTGTACTTTCTTAAGGCTTTAGAGGACGAATCGACTCTAACTAGTTCATAAGTGAAGGAAAACGATGAATGGTTTTCAAAAATGTTCTGCAAAGAAATATCTGAAGAGGTTTGGCATGAATTTGTAGAACCAGCTGGAGGAAAGTGCTCCCACAGCATTAGTGCTTTGTTCACCAAGTTTCACAATGTGAATGGTGTGTTCAGGGACTCATCTATAACCAGAGCATCTTGATAAATGGCAAGTGTTAACAAGGACTTCTTGTGGCTCCCCCCCCCCCCCAATAGTTTTCATTTTGTCCCTCTTCCATAAGTGCCAGATGTACAGAGTGTCCAGCTAGAAGTTGTGATGTCACCACATTATTTTTCCTGAACTGTGGATCTCTGTCATTCCTCCAGAATGACAGAGGCGTCTTCCTTGCTTTTCTGATTAATGCTCTCCTTAACAGTTGTGCAATATTTTCTTTTCTTTATATCTTCAGATGACAGATTTAGTAGTGCTCCATGAGACGATGAAAGATTTGTGTAATATTTTGTGACCTAATACAAACTTAGTCATACGTATGAGGAATATATAGCCTGTCTGCTATACTCCCCAGTCTTTGTTCACTGATGTTCTCAGACAATCTTCTGAGCCATTTAGAGAACAGCTGCATAAATTCTAGCAGTAAATTAAACACAGGTATTAATTACTAATTAGTGATCACTGTTTGGTTCCTAAGTAATTACTAAATGGTTTAAACTGATTTGATTTGGGGGAGATGTGGCTCCACCCTCTGCCCCCACACACAATAGTTTTCATTTTGTCCCTCTTCCAATTGTCACATTTCTACTTTTTAAATTAATTTGGAAACTTTCTGTCATTTTCCTTTCACCTCACAATTAGGCAATACTTTGTGCTTACTGACACAAAAGACCAGTGAGGCTGCAACCTGACAAATTGTGAGAATGTTCAAGGGGAGTGGGATACTTTAATTTAATAATAATTTGGATACTTCTGAATAAAATAACATTTTTACAGTTTGTTTATACTTCCAGTTTGACTTACTGGATAATTAAGTTCATTCTTGAGGTAAAAATATATTAACTCTAAATGTAGGATTTTGTTTTCACTTTTAATCACCATGCATCTTCATCCTCTCTCAGTGAAGCATCTCATCCACAAGGCTCGCTGTGCTTTAATCCTGCATGTAGCTCCACTCCTCCTCCTCCTCTTCCTCGCTCTCTTAGTGCCGATCTGACTGGGAGGAGGTGGGACCTACCCACTGGTGGTAGTGGGCGAGTAACCGCGTACGTGCAAATCGTGCAGACTGCCAAGGACGAAACGTGAGTTTCTCTTCGTTATCAGCGAACCCCTGCTTCAGTAAAATTCATCCACTAGGGACCATCTACCTTCTCGAGTTCGGTCCAGTGTATTTTAAGCGATCGGAGCCCCCAGCAGCAGCAGCAGCAGCAGCAGCAGAGAGAACATCACACAGACCTACAGACAGACAGACTGACGGACGGGCGGAGCGGAGCTGTGTGTGATGAGGAGGTCGCCTCGCCGCAAGGCTTTGCGTAACATCCAGATAATAAGAACGGGACATTTTTTGTCGTGGGGACTGCTTTCAGTTTGGGTCTGCTTTCAGTGACAGTCTGGTTTTGTGAAGAAACACACAGCAGCGATATAAAGCTACTAAAGAAGCTGAAGGGGAAATCACCGGTGAGTCTCTGTTTATGTTTTTAGCTCACTGTACACTCAAACAGCAACTTAGGGGTGATGCTGCCAACTTTAAATGATCTTAAATTGATCTCAGCTGCGCTTTGAGCACCAAAGACTTCATTTAAGGTCACAAATAATTAAACATGGACAAGAAGACTGCTTTATTCTGGCTAAAAGCTTCCTAAAATGATATTTAATAGGTTAACTCGGTCAGCATAACGCTCGAGTTCTAAGTTATTCTGTCATAGCAGCTAAAAGGTTAGCGCTACTAGCTTAACCAGCAGCCGCCGCCCCATCTATCCAGTCCTGCTGTAAAGCAATAAAGTCTCCGAGGATGGCTAAGATCCGGAGGAAAGATGATTTGAAACCATCCTGGTCTCCAGTTTAAACAAATAACAACAATTACATCGATGTAATGGTGCCTTGCCGTGATTCCAGTCATGTTTTACTCAGGGGCATCAACATTGGTTTACAGCTAAACTCTGACCCAAAACCAACCAGCCAGTTACAACGGCTATCACGTTAAGGTCCAATTCTTCATAATGGAAACGACGTTAACGGGAGCACCTACGCCCCTCTTAGCTGGTTACCGAAGCAGACCTGCTGCTGTGAATCCTGTGCATGTGTGGACTCATCTGCCATTTCACTGCACCTATCGCTGTTAGGTACTGAAAATGGAGCTGACCCTTATGAATCAAACTGCGCGAAGCTTCATATTTTTAGTGCCATCAACTGGTTTTGGGAAGTAATGGTTTCCTAACCAGACTGAACTCTTAAATATAGAAACCTACACAGCAGACAACAGCCTGGAGTGTTTCTTGTCAGTCTGTATCTTTAAACAGGAAATTGAAGATTCCTCTGTGGCAGCGCGGATTGGATCCAGAAGTTCAGGTTTTGTTTGACTTGATCCTCCGGGATCAATAGGAGGAAAGGGGTATTAGTTGGCCACAAAAGCAAAACAAAAAACAGAACACAAAGCCTTACTAGCATTTCAAGAAAATAAGGTAAATCTAAGAAGGGTCATTTTATTTTAAACTCTCTCAACGTTATGATAGCTGACATAGTTATCATAACTAGGTGCTAATGCATAGAAAGGAAACAATCAGAACAATTATTAAAACTTTAACCTGCTGATTTATCACAAGCTCTGTGTGAACGATGAACAGAAAACGTTTTTCTTTTAAATAGCTTCTTTCAGCTTAGTGTACTTTGTTTAGTCATTTTATCATGGCATTCACAAGGAAGACCATTGCTTTCCAAAGGGGTAGCACTGATGTGTGGTGCATTTACTGGATGGAGAAAGATTGGATTTTTGAGTTGTCACTGAGCCAGTCAACCTGAAAATCATCTGATTTCAGTCAATCTCTGACACTATGGTTCATTTCTTGTAATACACCAACAACATGTGTGCCAATGTATCAGTGCTGTTGTGTAGAAAAATTATGTTTGACCTCTGCTGTTATCTGGTGCTCTTTTTGTATTATCAAATATCCAGAATAGAGACAGAAACAGCTTAATGTTATTTGTACACTAAAGGGCTGCAGTTAAACCCAGCCAGACATTAAATTTATTAAAATTAAGGCCTATTCTATTGTTTTGAGGCAACGATGCAAGAGTAGTGAGGCACAGTGAGTTGAATGCAGTGCTTTTTTCTAGTTTGGGTGCAATTTGCATCTCAAGTGCCTGCTTTGCTTGTTTCATGAATCCCTGAACTGCTTTGCCTGGCTGTACAGAACAGCAAAAGTCAATCCAGTGAGCAGCAGGTCCAAACAATGAGATTGAACACATTTTTGGCCCAAATGGAAATAATAATCACATAATATAACACACAGTTGAGATGATATGGACTACTGTGGATAGAGTACCTCCAAAAAAGTGAGAGTGGCCTGTGGGGTCATCTAAAGTCATTCTCACAGGAATCAGATTTCCGTTATCTTTGTCCTGAGCCGAGTCATTTGCACTCCTAACAGGTTTTCTGTTGTTGGACTGATATCAGTAAAGTTAATTTCTTATTAGTTGCTTCAGTTCTGCACTTAGGATGATAAATTGTCTGTTTTCTGCTTTGACCAAGCCTTGCCTCAAGTTACCCAGCATGTTTTATTTAGCTAGTTGTTTTTCTGGTGTACTTTCCCCCCTCACATATCACACACAACTGTTTCAGACACAGATTATGGAGTTGAGGTTCACTCAGTAACCCTAATTTAGATTATCTATATAATGCATTAATCAGACCTCTGATCCAAAACCTGAGGTTTTCTGACTGTTGGTTTAAGAGATTATTAAAATTGGCTTTCATCACATTGACACATTTCTAGACTATAAAAAAAAAACCGACACATTATTTTGTACTTAACACGAGGGAGTTTTTGGGTAACTCCAACTGAACTTCCTTTAAAATCAAGTCTATCTCCTATCTTCGTTTTCTTTTTTCAACGTTTGTCTTAAAAAAGACGGAAACTACCGCCAAACATCAAGCTCAAATTTCAACATGGCATTTTGAGCAGAATAGAAAAACCGAGGTGCCCAGTATTTAGTAGGTTTGAAATTCATAGCACTCCTTTAATAAGGGATGTAATTGCCTTCAAAGAGGAAAATAAGTCATTTTTAGCTGCATGTGTTTTAATACTAGTTATGTAAAGACCAAGCTAAAGAGGAACTAAGCATTACTACTTATAGGGTAGACAAGTTCCTCCAGGCAAAGGCTTATTTAGTCAAACTACATAAAAGTTTTAATCTTCACTTTAAATGTAGTTCTTGTCAAAAACTTTCCTGTCTGACTTTTACAAGCTGGACTGCTTCAGTACTTCAGGTGCAAAGAGTCTACTGTACATTCAGTGCTTACCGAGGAGCCGCTTTCACATATGCACTGCTGCCTTAACATTTTCTGGGTATTTTCCAAAGCAACTGCATGTGGCAACACAAACCTCTGCAATATGTGCTCCGGACTTCTTGTGCAATTTTGTGCGAGAGCTATGAAGTAGGATTCCAACAGGAGCATTGCAAACAGTCGTTATTGCAAGCATCCATTTTGTATCTGTGAGTGTAAAAAGTCTCATAAGGTGGTTCATTATGGAAAAAAAGGGCAAAAGAAGAAATTAAGTGGCCCTCCAAATATTTTTGTGATGGCTTTATCACAAAAATATAGTAAAACTTAGTTTCTAATAAAATTTAGTTATGACTCAGCAAATAATTTTGTTGCCAAAGTAAACTGAAAAATGTTTTTTTTTTTAAATGTACCACAGAATGATTTGTAAGTTTTTGTAAGTACTTATAAAACATTACTTAGTGTCATTTTTTTGACTTTGTCTTTAGAAACCGGTATTCTAAGAATTTCTAGGATGATTTCCGATCATCTTTTGATACTGATATTAGCCTTTTCCAATTTCCTAATAAGTTTTACATATAAAGAATATTGAATATAGCTGAAAAAAATCCAAAATGTAACTGTCTTGCAAATTTGGATGTATTTATTAAATTTTTTGACATCCACACCAGATTTCAAAGCATTTATTCATCTAATAGACAAAGCTCACTTTTGTTATACACCTCAAAAAAAATAGAATACTTCATTATTATTATTTTTGGACAACGTTCATTCAAAATAAACAGCAGCTGTATCCAGCTCCATCCGACAGTCGCATCCATTTTTTTCTGACTGTTTATTCATTTATTCAATTTGCAGCTAAACTGAATTTCACTAGCACTCCTAAATATGGACTGCCTGACTTCAGGTGGCATTTTAGATTTTCTTTGCCATTCATGATTAGCACAGTTAGCATAGTTAGCGTTACTGACCAAAGACAGCAGTCTATGAAAGTAGAAAATGGCTTGCAGGGAAAGCAAACTCTTACCGTACATGTGAGATTTCTAAATGACTGTCAATATTTCCAAAAAGCTGATGGACAGAATCTGGCTCTTCAAAAGGGCAGAAACAGAGCAATTTTCCTACAGTATGCCCAGCCTCAGTGCTGTCTGCTAATGCCTCCCTCCCTTGTTTAAATGGTTAGTTTGGATTTTCCTGTGGAGAGTTTTTTTGTTGTTTTTTTTTTTTTTTATCTGTATAGTTGCCTTATCTGTTGTGGAAAGATGACATAGCACTGTGAACTCCATGGAAAATCAATGTACTTTGATTAGTGGAAGCTAGCAGCATGTCAAATGTAACAGTTTACAACAATTAGCCTGCTGGCTAACCTAAGCTTTTGATCCACTGCAGAACTGCTAACAACAAAATAACTCTTTAGATTTTGTGTTGGTTCTACTACAGCATTACATATGTTTTTTTCTCTTGTGCTTTAAGGTTCTTGTAGTTGTTTGAAAATGATCCTGACAGATTAAATCAGTAGAAGTGGAGTCATACTCTTCATGAAGAGCTTGTTAGCATTCACTACTCCGAGGATGAGTTTATTTACCTACGTTTACTACTGGTATGGTGTGTTCACTGAAAAATGGTCAGACTTTTAGTTTATAACCCAGAGATCACTGATTAGGACCAGTCCAGGATGAACTCATTTAATTCTTTAACTGAGCCGTTCTGAAAACCTTCTGCAGGTCAGCCATGGAAACGTGTCTCTATGCCAACTGTTTTGGTTTAGGTTTATTTAAAAAAGTTGAGAAAGTGTATTTCTAAAGCCTGCACATTCATTGAACATTCTTTAAATAAGCACTCCTTCTGAACTAGCTAGTGGTTAACTTTTAAATGTTCTCAGTTAATCTTTATTTTGATCCACCAATTATAGACCTCCTTCTTGTGGCAGGTGGCCAACTCCGACAGAAATTTTTCAGATTTACTCGAGTGAAACGTATAGTTGTTCATGGAAAACAAACCCCCAAAACAACACTCGTGTTTGGGTTTGAACTCTGCACGTTTTTTTTTTTTTTTTACCAACTTAAGGTCAGATACTGTTAAGAGCTGATCATCGTTGGACTCTAGTGAGGCTGTTTTTAACTTACTACTTGTAATTCTCACCCTGACATAAGTTTTATTTTTAGTGACTGACCCA